GACTTTCATTGTTTCTCTTTGTAGGTAAATGTCACTCGCGAAGACTCACCAAGTGAAGACCCAGTCTTTCTTAGGACTTTAGGCAAAGGAGACTGGTTTGGAGAGAAAGCCTTGCAGGGGTAAGTAGATCACATGTCACACAGTTTTTGCTTGAGTACTACATAAATTCCTGTCTTAAAGATCACGCTCCTAACAAAACAGGATTTTTATTTCTGATTCTGATATCAGACATGGGCCCTTGCTCATTTTTATTTTATTTCCAGCTGGAATTGTAATATGTGTAGATAGGCTGTACGATTGATTGGTGGTTAACTTCTATAATAAATAATTTTTATAGTAATAGGAAAATCTCTCAGCTTTATGTTTCTTAACTGCAAACTCTATAAAGATAAAAGAGAGGGAGATGTCTCTGCTAAGCTTACTTTGTACAACAGTTTTATTCAGAATCTCAGGAAGATGGTTGAGAATTTTGAAATCCCTAAACCTGGCTGAACAAACAATAGATAGGAAAGCAGTGATTCACCTCTGGCTGGCTGTCATCAGTGCTGGTTATGGTAATGGAGGTGGAGGAGCAGCTGGGCGTGGAGGTGATTTATGCATATGCAGGCTCACTCTTGAGGGCTCTAAAGACGGAAGAGGTGTACTGCAAGATCACTGAAATTGCACTTGTAAACAAAGACCGCAAGAAAGAAGCATTTGGGATTTCTTCCCATATACTATGGAAGAAAAACTCAGTTGACTTTGTACCACTGAATGTACAAAATGCACGACAAATATGACAGATTTGTTTGGGTATTCTAGTCTTGATGTCCAATTAGCAACACCTCTCGATTATCAGTAAAGAGAGATAAGACTTTTCTGAGTTTTGTGCTGTATGTATAATAAGCCACTGGAATCAGAAATAACTAATAAACATTTATTTTTGCATCATATTCCAGGTGTAGGACTGCCTACTAGAGAGGAAGAGCAATAGGATCGAACATGTTCCTAAAATATTTGGAACAGTTTTGTTTTCATTTCAAATGATGACTTTATTTTAAAACATACAAGCAATTTGCTTAAAGGTACTATAGAGAAAGTTTAAGGAGTTTTTAACATTTTATTTTTAATGGCAGTTTATATTCAGTATTATTTTGTGTTAGTTTCAGGTGCACAGCACAGCGGTGAGACAATCATATATTTTACAAAGTGGTCTCCCCAACGTTTCAACTACCCCCCTGCACCATACAGAGCTATTAGAATATTGTTGATTATATTCCCTATGCTGTACTTTACATCCCTGTAACTATTTTATAGCTACCAATTCGTACTTCTTAATCCCTTCACCTTAAGGAGTTTTTATTTTTTAAGCCACAATCAGTGGCCAGGTCTTATTTTCTTCCTGACTATTTCACAACTACAAAAACAGTGATTTTGATGTCATCTTACTCAGGCCACATTATCTTGTGAAAATTCAGAACTCAGTGCACTTGATTTTCTGTTTTTTTCTTTTACTGAGTTCATTTGATCCTATCTGATGAGTGTGTAGTTGCCATTCAATTTTTCCAATGGCAAAGGTGGAAGAAATGGCATGGTTGGTGTAGATACACAAAATAATGCAATAATCGTAATCTTCGTAGCATAAAATATACAAAGATACCATTTGTGCTTTAATCTTTCTTTCCCTTGATTATTATATACGTAGAGGATTCTAGAGGATAATGCCACCTGACTGCCATGGTCCAAGATTAAATGTCTCTGTGAAAATTGTGATGCATTTTCAACATATAACATTTTCAAAATATGGTAGTTGCCATTCAATTTTTCCAATGGCAAAGTTGGAAGAAATGGCATGGTTGGTGTAGATCCACAAAATAATGCAATAATCGTAATCTTCATAGCATAAAATATACAAAGATACCATTTGTGCTTTAATCTTTCTTTCCCTTGATTATTATATACGTAGAGGATTCTAGAGGATAATGCCACCTGACTGCCATGGTGCAAGATTAAATGTCTCTGTGAAAATTGTGATGCATTTTCAACATATAACATTTTCAAAATATAACACTTTCAGTCATTTCTGATGAGATCACAAGCGGAACACCAGACAGTGAAACATAATTGAGAACTGACAGCTTTTCTTTTGTAGCTTACTGCCACTGAATCCTGGCGCAAATAAAAGAAAGCTTTTAAGGTGAAAACACCTTCCTAAAATGGGTCTTAAGAAATGACCTTGGGGATATGACTTATAAAGAAGATATCAAAGTTTGCTCTGATATCAAATTTAAGTTAATGCTCTTCCATGTAGATTAAATTCATGCTAACATATGCTTATTCTTATGAACTGCCTGTTGTCAAATCTCTTTTGAACACATTCAGCCTCTTCGCTGGCCAATCTGTCGCCACACCACCACCGCAACCGTCACTACACTGACCTATCCCCACCCCTTTCTTTCCTCTGGCC